TCTGCAGAGCGCATGCTAGGCCCCGCCTCTATCCAGATACCTCTCGCAACTTAGCAGAGGTCCACCGGGACGCGCCCCGTGATAATGAAACGGGGATTTCAAACGAAATTGAAATGCAAAGTTCAGTATCGAAATTTCGCCAAACAAAGTGAAAACTTGGATTTAGGGGTTTTCAAGTACGCTCTTTTCAAATATGGAAATCTCGTCTGCCTCAAAGCTCACCACGGACCGCTTACTAACAATGAAACAGGTAATTTCATACAAACTGCATTTGAAAATTCAGTATTGAAGTTTCACCAAACAAAATGAAAACTTGGACGTAGGGGTTTTCAAGTACGCTCTTTCCAAATATGCAAAGAATTTTTTTATAAGAACATGTATAAGGTTTGTAAAAAAAATTCAATTTTTTTGTATCACATTTCAACCAATTCAAAAAAAACACACACAAACAGATTTTTTCAATGCAGTGCGTTGTAAACGGAGTTTGTTTGGGTCAAACAGCCTCAGGCAAGTCCATAGGATGTAACGGTAGATTACTGCGTTCAATTCTTTCATCGATTAGTCTGTGTTCAAATATTTCATATAATTATTTTATCTCTGTATATCTATATATACATATATGGCTCAGCAAATGTACTTAGATGGTCTTCTCCGATACGAATTTTGACATCTTGCTGAAATAATTTTCTATTACCTCTATTTCTAAAATTTCACTGGAAAGATATAATTTTTAAACTTTCATGGAAACTTTTCATGGAATTTGCCACTGTAAAAATTTTGATACTCGGAACGGTAAAGCATCAAAATAATTCCACTAGCGAATACGATGAAATTCTCTGCTATCTGCGATATGTTTTTTTTGAATTGGCTGAAATTTGATACGAAAAAATTGAAATTTTCTTTTACAAACCTTGTACATGTTCTTATGAAAAAATTCTCTACATATTTGGAAAGAGCGTACTTGAAAACGCCTAAGTCCAAGTTTTCACTTTGTTTGGTGAAACTTCAATACTGAATTTTCAAAGGCAATTTGTATGAAATTCCCTGTTTCATTGTTAGTAAGCGGTCCGTGGTGAGCTTTGAGGCAGACGAGATTTCCATATTTGAAAAGAGCGTACTTGAAAACCCCTAAATCCAAGTTTTCACTTTGTTTGGTGAAACTTCAATACTGAATTTTCAAAGGCAATTTGTATGAAATTCCCTGTTTCATTGTTAGTAAGCGGTCCGTGGTGAGCTTTGAGGCAGACGAGATTTCCATATTTGAAAAGAGCGTACTTGAAAACCCCTAAATCCAAGTTTTCACTTGGTTTGGCGAAATTTCGCTGCTGAACTTTGTTTCAATTTCGTTTGAAATCCTCGTTTCATTATCACGAGGCGCGTCCCGGTGGACCTCTGCTAAGTTGCGAGAGGTATCTGGATAGAGGCAGGGCCTAGCATGCGCTCTGCAGATGTGTTAATTATCGTTATTGGCAACTCATGACCTCCGAAATTACATTTTAGTTGGCTGTCAGGGGACCTAAGTTCCGTTCCCCGATGTGAGCGAGTGGGAGGTCCGTAGAAATTATTTGGACGAAGATCTGATTTTTTTCGATTTTTTTGGGCATTTGGAAATTTTTAGATTTTGAGTTCGAACTCTCCGTGGATCGAGCACGGTGCAAAGACATGAGTGCCATCTTGTAGAGCTTGCTTTGCTCTATCGGGCGGTACCCCTTACCCTTTGTTGGGTTGAGCCTGGTTGCTATGTTAAAGCAAGCAAATAAAAACGTGCATTTATTATGAGACAACCTAATAGTTCCCATAATAAACGACCAACGTGTCTTTAATCATTTCAACATTTCAAAGCGTATTAAAACGATCGAAAGGCAATGGTTGATATGGGAACAATTCGGATTCATAATACAAGAACACTTGTTTGCCAGTGACGTGTTGAAATCGGATAGGACGTGAAGCAGCAAACAACTGCGGGTAAACAATTGTTCAAACATGTAAAATGAGTCCTAACATGTTCTTATTTTATTCCTGAGTGTATGTAACCCCAGCCATTAGCGTGACTTCAGGTGTTCTCACGCCTTGCCTAGTTTTCTTGATGATGACATTGTTGATAGGTCAACTTCCCATCAGAAACGTTCTCAGGCTCTGTTGATTCTCCTTCATGTTGATCCAGCCATTCATGTGACTAATGCTTTCCCTTTCATAGACGGAAGTTCCATGACCATTATTTATCTAGGAGAGATGATCTCTGATACCTTATCTTTGGTGGTCTTCAAGTAGAAGTCCCCCAGATCATGCCGGAAAATTCATTTATATTATTTCGTTTGTACACACTTTCAAGGAAATGTCGTGAAGCGCGGACTTAGGATAGTCATTCGATATCGACAGGCCGGCATTCAAGCGCTTTGAAAGCAATGCTCTGAGCCTCTAGAAGTTTTGTAGATTCATAAATAGCGCTAAATCTGTATCGAGATTCAAAAAGAAAAAGAAAAAAACTGAATCGCGTAGTAATGGAGGAGACAATCTCTAACAGTTGATAGTCATTTTGCCAGATTTCCGTGCAGTTTACAAGATTTTAAGTCCCAAAATTCAGCTGACAGCACCAGATGCGGATCAATCTGCCATTTCAATGTTTTTCTATACTTTTTTTGAGCGACAAACGGGAAATTCGCGATACGGCCGTCTACTCAATTTCATAATCAGTTCCTAACGGATATGGTTAGCTTATTAACAGCCGAGAACCTCAGAATGCTGTAAGCGCTCCGTTTTTGTTTCTAGTTCTTCAGTCTTTATTTTCTTTCACTTTTTGGTGCTGCGTTTTTTTCCCTGCTTTCCTCGTCATTCCTTGTAACATTGATCTGATCTGATTTCACTGCTTCAATACACCCATTCTTATAACATTGATCTGATCCAATTTCACTGCTTCGAAAGGGTTTAATTTTGTTACACTGATGTGTAAGACTTACAGCTTTTATATCATATCGCGCAAAAATCAGCTCTCTAAATATATAATGAATAAGTAGGGTCTTTTGGTGACTTCATTTGCAGCGCATCTAAGTCTACAAACATAAGCCATAGCGAAGCGCTGCTAGTCCCTGATTGCGAACAACACTCAGATAAATTTTAACCGTAATGGAAAGAGACCCTTAGTTCAGGTCAACAACAAATGATGGAAGTTTATGACGCAATACGGGATATTATGATAGGCGAACAAGCTAGAATCATTATATAATTTTCCTCCCCTGTTTAAACAAAAAAGAACGATTTTTCGTGCTTATTAACATTGCACTACTATTATGAGCAGCCCCCCCCCCCCTCAATAGCCATTGCTGTTCAAAAACCGGCAGTGATTCTGGTGAAGGCAATCAATTAGAATTCATTAAAATTATCGGAATTACATTCAATGTCTAACTTAATAAGCGTCACGGTTTCTGGTCACACTGCAGCGTGTATGCTTAGCACGTTGGAATTCATTAACTCATTTAAATGTTCAATCGCTCAAATAAGAACAAGTTTGAATGGCGGCACGTTGCGCTTAGCATTAGCAATCTCCTCGTTCATAGCCCTGGCATTTCCATTACCATAGATTAGATTAGCTTATATGATGGCTAGACATAGATCATAAGATCATTTATGACACGCTTATGTATGCGCTATGACTGAACTTTCGGTTTCCCAGTTTCATTTTTTGCAGAGATAGTGCAGAGGTATGATGTGTCAATAATGAAAACAGTTAGTGGATTCACGGATGTTAAGTAAACAATGGACGGGGTCTATTCAGCATATTTGCAAAGATTTTGCAAAGATTTTCAAGGAAAATGCGCAGTGTGTATAAAATTTATGCCTGAACCTGAAGCATGGGGTTCAATAAGCAGTTGTAGAGAATCGCAAATCAAAACAAGATGTTGGGTTTGAAAACTTGTAATCGACAAAAACAATTTCCTCAAAGCAAACACAGATCGATGCGAAACAAAATAGGGAAAAAAGTGCAACAAAAATGAGTTTTCAATCACTTCCTTAATGAAAACGCCACTGGTATTGCTCAACCTAATAGAAAGCTAAACTAGCCAAACATGTATTTTACACTACTGGTTGACATCCACGGGAAAAAATCGATTAGTGACGATACCATGTCAAGATTGCGTGAGATTGTATGAGAAATAGTAAGTAAGAGAAAGATGCATCATATAGATATGCAAGCACCATGACATGACATAATTTGCATCTGAGATGATAAACATTTCGAAACAGCAGCGCCGGGAGAGAGGGTGTTTTATGATTCAGCGCTAATGCGTCTTTCTTTCCGATAAAAGCAAAACAAGATCTGCGTTAGTGCCGATTTGATCATAAAAAATCACTTGACATACAAAACCATTTCTGATCAAGTTCGCGTGAGCCTAATTTCGCAGTAAGAACAGGTGTTAGCTGAATTGCAATCATTGTGACAATCAATCGGGAAGGAAAAGTCAGAGTGACTGCGAAAGCTTTAGAAATGAAACTGACATGATGTGCACTTGAGAATGAAAGGGAGGGAGAAAAACAGAGCTGTGTGATTGGTAGAAAAACGAAAGCAATCAATGTAGGGCATGACAGTACCGCGTTTTTGATGAATTGGTCAAAACATTCTTCTAGATGACAGGATGCGGAAACTTTTGAAAGCAAAGCAATTCCCTTGAAGTGAGGCGGAAAGGAAGTGCGCGTGACCAGTAATAAGGTTACAGTGATCAAAGGGTGGCAACAGCGGCGTCGCGGGGGAAGCAGGTGAGAGCCGGTCGGCCGCGCGCAGCCGCACCGCGGTCAGTCGCCGCCCGCCGCGCGGCTGCGATGCGTGTCGGCGTGCCTACGTGGCTGGCCGCAGCCGCAGCAAGACCTAGTCGATAGTTGGCTAGGCGCCCTTCCCGTCACTGCTGCACCTTCGTCCTACTCACAGGATTTCGCTCTTCATCTGATCACACATATGGACGCCGTAGACGGCGGATGATTCCTATTCGTTCATTCTACTGCTCTAGGACGCGCGGCGGAGGAGCCGCACGCTTTTTCCGTAGTTACATTGCGGGAGTACACGAAGATGGCCACCACGTCGAAGTTGTCGTTCCGAGCCAGAAACCTCGATGCCAACAAGGCGATGTGTGTGTTCTTCGCCTCCGAACTCCCGGATCTGTCAGAATGTGCTCCGATTGCTCGAGCAGTCGCTCAGATGCCGACCGGCATGGAGAAGGAGGAGGAGATGGTGAGTCCGCAGCATGGCTGCCTTCACGCAGTATCGATCCTTTGTTGTACGCCTACCCATCGTTTAGTTACGAAAGATTCCTGTTACGGGTTCTTGTTCGCGTCTCATTGTGATACAACTCTAAGATTTGACTTTAGTGACTTAGTTTCAGCTTCTTCTACCTCACAGTGTTAATTTTGTCGCTAACTTTTGAAAAATTAGGTGGCTGAATTTGTCCAATTCTTGATTTTGCTACAACTTACCTAAATCGTTGAAAAACTTTGGATGCACACTTTTCTCAGAGTTTTGCTCTGATTTCCGTTAGTGCGGCAGCGTAAACAACCCCCCGAACTTGCGCCGCGCCCCGTGTATCGATCGCCCCAGTAACGATTACCCTTGAGGCTGTGCATATGAGTGCGTTGAGGCGGGGTTGCGACACACACTACTCTCGATTTTCTTCAGGAATCTCACCTCCAAGATGCCATTCTCGCACAACAAGCAAGTACTTCTGGAGTACGGGTCGACAATCACGTCATCCCAACTCCAAAGGTGTTCCCTGTAGACGCGAAACGTTATGATGAGGCATATCCAGTGCAACCTCCTCCCCCAAAGAATAACCTCATAAAAGTTCAAGGTGAGAATTGTTTTATGTATGTGGACTAACATTATTTGATGTTATTCAGCCTGGCTGGCTTTGGACAAGGAAGAGGCAGAATATGATGTTGATTCTGAGGATGAGCAGTGGTTGGCCAAGAGGCCCCACATTGATCCACGCGCACTGGAACGGATATTTGATACACTTGAAGCGAAGTCGTCTGATAATAACATTTGTTTGCCAGACACCGCTCGATCCGCTCTTCTAGGTTTGTTTATTCAGATTTTTTACTTATTAGTTTTTCTTTATTATGATATCTTTTTGGTTTTTTTATTATAAAGCATCTATTTCTTAATTTTTATTATTATTTCAGAATACTTTTTGAAAGTTATACTACATCTTTTGCTAATTACTTATGAACTTGTTTTTATAGCATTTGATGAAGCCATTGTTGATGATGTATATGATTATTGGCTGGCAAAGCGAGAGAAGAGCACAACCGTCCGGTCACTCCAACTTGGTGTCGGAGGTTTAATACCTCGTGTGCGCACTGAATGTCGAAAAGTTGGTAATTTTACTTTTACGTACCCTATTTATTTCACATTCTAAATATAGGACCAGCAGGGTGGAGTGAATCCGTACGTGGCCTTCAGAAGGCGTGCTGAAAAGATGCAGACAAGGAAGAACAGGAAGAATGACGAAGATTCGTACGAGAAGGTAGAGTTTAGTTTAATCGTTTGATTTTGATGGAAACCTTTTTTATATTTTCGTTGAATCTCGTTTTTAAGGTGTTAAAACTTGGACACGATCTTCGTAAAACTGTAACACTCTTTGATATGGTCAAAAGACGAGAGAAGACGAAGATAGCGTTAATAGATCTTGATTCGGAAATTCTCGCGCATCGAATGGGACTACTTGATTTTGGATCTAATATCTACAATCAATTCGTGGCCAAGATTAGGGAGTCAGGAAAGCACGCTTCGACGGGTACTACTAACGGCGTTGCTAAATCTGAAGTGAGTTTTACTGTCATCTCGTTCTTTTTTCGTTTTTCACGATTACATCATTAGGACGATGCCGTGCTTCGAAAGAAGGCAAAGCGAAGGAAGCTGAGAACTGTAGCTGCTAATGTTGACCGTGAGGTTCCTAGTAAGGTATGTATGCTATGTTATGTGAAAATCTTAGTTTAAGTTGGTTTCGTACGTTCATCAAATCATATCCTTGTCTATCACAACAAGTTTGATAATGACATTGTTCCAGGCATGGTTGAAGAAAAACGCAGAGGTATGGAATCGACCACCATCTGTATTCGCTCCATCTGGCATTTCTCCTGTTGCTGAAGTAGATCAGTCTGCACAGGCAGTATGCGACGCAAATCTTGATGGGAAATATGTATTCAAAAGAAGACGTGGATGCATGTATCGTAGTCCACTTTCGGCCAATAACAGCACGGAAGAGAACCTTGAGGCTAAGGTAAATTTATTCGTATAATATTCTTTATTTGTGGAAGGATATTGTAAGGTTGTTCAGGATCTGGTCGTATTTTTAACGGTGCAAGATTTCTTACAGAACTAATACAATTTCAAAAGTCTCAATTTCAGATTCCGAAATCTCAACATTTGTATGAAACATATCTACCACGTCAAGATGGTACGATTCGTCGGTTTGGATTGGCTAGGCGAAGACTGGGTAGAGGTGGACGGGTGGTGTTTGACCGATTTCAACGCGCTGACGCCCCTCGTGTACCTGATCCACGCGACCCATTCCTCGATGATTTTCTACAAGATGGCTCAGTGTAAGTAGAGGCGGTAATATCTTAATAAGAGCCACTCATATATACTATTTCCAGGTCTTTCCGAGCGCGGCTTCGCCCTTTGGTTGAAATCGATTCACATAGAAGTAGATTTCTCAGTTGGGATAGAGCTATGGAAGAGGATTGTGAAAAGCGGTGGTTAACAAGTGGCAGTTGTCCAAGTAGCAGTGGCTGTCCCCCACAGGATAACCACGACTCAGATAGTCAGCCCGCATCTGCAATGTCTATATCTTCCAATCCACCTTCCGCCACTCAGTCGGGAAACGGATTGGCGGGCAGAGTGGACCCATCTACCCCCACGTCGACTAAGGTTGGAAGCTCTTTCTCGCCGCGGTCCAGTGCCTGAATAAAAAAGTGTTTGCAGGAGTATGAAGCTGTACCAGTGTCGGATGAGTGGCGGGAAGCTAGCGGGTCACCATCGGAGTCAAATTCGTCTTCGGAATGGGTACCCCCATCCATGGGCACACAGATATATCCGGTCCTATCAAGTGAGGAGGAAGCTCGAACTGGGGACCACCCGATTGCAAAACAGCCGCCCATTAATCTTAAAGGGTGTGTGGTTACGGTTCCTATCGTTCCTATTGTTGTTGAACAACGACTGGTCGTTATGGTCAAGTGTAATAACAGCCTGATTTTCTTCGTATTTTGACACTGAAATTTTGACACTGAAAAGCAAACATAGTTGGACAGTTTGACAGTAGTTGAAACATTACGAGTGAACGAAAAAGAGGAGTCTAACACAACTGACAAGCTTTGTATTAAAAAAAGGCTATAATTTCTCTCACGCGCGCTAAGAAATAGAAAAGGGCTCAAGTAATGGAAAGGTCGTTTCATGGCAAAAAACTGCACATTCAGGTCCGTTGTGGGTGCAACCGAGATCGACTACCGTAGTTCATTCCTCCTGGCGCCGCCTACGGTTGGCAGCTAGGTCTCCGCTCTGCCCGAGCACAGTGTACAGCTATTCTTCCCCTCTCAGTCTTGTAAATGATCTTCGCTTTCCTCATTCAGTGTTTACGAGGTCTCCATTGTGTTTTAGAATATAAAGGTAATTATGATTGTGTTCTGTTCTTAAGTTTGTGCGATGCCCGTTTTAATTCAACTGTATCGTTCCTTCATTTTTACCGCTCTACGTTGACTGGTATCCGAAAGTCGTGTTGTTGAATTTAGATTTTGTTCTATCGACTTCCACATGTCTGTGATGAAACACACTAAAAAGAATAAAAATCAATAAAAAGAAGGATGATCAAAATCTTTAGAATTTATCCGTAGTTATCACAAGGCTTCTCTTATTCACAGCAAATCGCTTATGCTCTAGACGAGTATCGTCACCCCACCTGTTGTATCTGAATTCTCAACTCTATATATACATGCTATATCATTTCAATACCATATCCAAACTATTTGGTTGTGAAGGCGTAGGATTTAGCGTTGGAGGGGTTATTGATGGCCCAGGTGTTGATTCCCTGGGTGCAACGGGTAGGTGAGGAGCTGTACTGGCCGATTCGGATTCGTTCTCCAAGAAACGAATAAACTGTTCAGCCAGTGAAATACCACCACTCTGTCGTTTTTTGCTTGGAGTTCTGCCACTGACTGCATGACGAACCTGAAGTTTGATAAGGTTTTTGAGTGGGGTAATTAGCCTTTCAGATGAGTGTAACATTGGCCAGACATAATTGCCCCCCACTTAGCGAGGGAGACATACCCTCGACGTCAATCCCTAAGTTACATTTGCAAAGTGGAGTGGTGCGGTGCAGCCGCCTCGCTTTGCGCTCGCGCCACGTTGCTGGGCATCGTTCAGACGTGATTTGGCGCTAAAAACAACGTGGCGGCACAACATGTTCAAACGTGGCAATAAGAACAACGTTTCTTCGTTGCCCCTGTTGCCACGCCATGCCAACTCATGCGCTCGCAAGGTGGCGCGAGCGCAAGACGAGGCGGCTGCACCGCACCACTCCACTTTGCAAATGTAACTTAGGGATTGACGTCGAGGGTATAATGAGGTCGTTCATTTTGTTTTTTGTCCTAATACTCAAGATGCGCAGTCGCGCATTTGCTCGAATAAATCAGATTAGAGATCAGAGCTTTTATTTTACAAGACTGACGTGACAGGGTCTCAAACCTCGATTGAAGAAGGCGCAGGCCCCAAAAAAGCGAACTGACCTTTTCCATGTCCTCTGGTGGATATTCCAAAATGCTTGCCAAAAGGAGCGCAATATCAGCACGTTTGTCTACTGGAGCAGTGAAATAACTCAAAAATAATTGGCGCAATGTAGCATCGTCGATACGATAACTTTCCGTCGAAAGCCGTGACGATGCTCGTAGTTCTTCTAATTGTACTTCCAAATCCTCTAAAATAGCACACAAATGGTCTAGATAAACAAAAATTTACTTGGACATACCAACAATCTTTTGACGGCTATTGATTGTACTCTTGGCCGACTCTAGCAGATCCTCCATTGTTTGTTTATCCAAGGAGAGGCGTTCCATCTCAGCACGCGTGTTTTCGACAACGGCTGTTAGCTCCTGGACCATTTAACTGCCATTACTTTTGAAAGAGAATTAACACAAGCGAGAGGGAAACCAAAAAACCTCAATTTTGCGCTGAAGCTCCATGTTTCTGTGTGACGCATCAGCTGTTTCTCGTTCATGGTCCGTTGAGAGTTCTCTCACAACTACCTAAATTCGAAATAGTCAATTACGCACAGAAACGGCAAACGCTGTGGCTCATTCTATCGTCCCAAAGTCATATGAAAAGCAATACATTTTTCAAATGGAATAAAAGCTTATCCAAAACGAAAGCGGTCGCCCATGCACGCGAAGCTGCGCGGGCGAACGAGCTCCAATGACGAAAGATTCTCAAACACGCCGATCGCACCGCTTCGCACGTTGAACCGACCTTCGTCAGGGAGAGCTTTCACACACAAAGCTTTCACCTTGCGCCTTTTTAAGCATATTTTTCATTTCATATTACCTAAATTTACGCGCGGTTTGAAGTATTCGTCTGCAACAATGCTCTTGTGCACAGTGACTGTTTGGCGCACCTTTCTTTCACCTCGGTACTTGAGTAACTAAAGCATAATCAGCATAGTGGACATTAGATTAAGGCAGAATAGTTTTGTTTCAAGGATACGCCACGCACTCCAGTACATATGTAATTGCTATGCGAAACAAATAGAATAATCAGTACTTTTTGAAGTAATCAGTACCTTATGAAATGACATTTGTGACTCAACTGATAGAAAACTCACAATACTTCGTAAAAGGTTTTATCTGAGTAACTGTTATTTTCAAAATTATTGGCACCTCCATAGATAATTCTCAGATATCTACGAATCAAGCTGCAACGTAAACGACCAACAATGTTACAGCTTTATCCTAAATTTCGACTATTTCTGAATATCTGGCACGCTTCGTTGTGTTACAGTCTTTACCTAGTTCCTTCGTTACAGTCTCGCCAAAGTTTCAAAACAATCTCTTAATACTATGAACAAAGGAATTTCTTTCATTAGAGATTCATAAAGATTTGGACAAAAAAGAACCATATTACATTTTTCCTGCACCTTTTTCTACAGATAATCCGAAGGGCTATATCAGGAAGCAGGTCAGCATAAAGTAAAAGTTGGGATCCAGCTTTCCCCAAAAAAGATACCTATTCAGTCATAATCAGAATAAAGATGAAAAGCTCTTTCAATGTCATTAAGTTGCTGTTGTTCATTTCGCTGTTCTGTGAATAAGTTGAAACCTTTAACTCCCCCCCTCCCTCCTCCTCGATAAAGCCTCGGTTTATGGTTTTTTTTAAACCTTTCATCTTAAATTTCTACAAGTATCGTAAATCGTGCTAGCCCTTTGGGAACATGGCTTCAACAAGCCTCTTTATTGTAAAAAAAAAATCGGCGCCTCAATTTCGCGCCTAAAAATACGATCACTAGAGTGCACTGCTATTCACTCAATTCAATGGATGTTTTCCTTTCTGATGGTGCAGAGGTACTCACGTGATCATATGATTACGAAACGTAAAATTTCAAAGCATCATTTGTGATGGTTTGCGGTTTCAGTTCCACAACGTTTTTAGGGGGATAGAGACGAGAGAATATTTCTTAAATGAAAAAGATGCCACGCTCTACAAAGGAATCTTGATATGCTTCGCAGATTCTGACAAGTCATTCCTCCCAAATCCTTCCTAAAAATTTTTACGAGGCCAATTTGAGTTTACAAGATTGAGAAACTAATTATCAAAACAAACTATTTGCACATTTTATGGATCAGGCAGCAACATCAAAAAGCATGATCTCCTCTCAAAAGGCGTTCACTTTTCAGTTGGTACCAGGTAGTCAATTTTTGTAAGTGCTTAACAACCGAAACATAAGCTCCAGATTATGTGTCCCTTGAAGTCTCATCACGATACATATCTGCGAAGTGACAAAGATAGCGCAGGCTTATTAGCTAACAAGACATTCAAGCTAGCGCAACAGACAAAATATCATCGAAAAGATGGTCGGGCTCTGGTCAGATGAGCGTCCGAACAAGCAAGCAGATTTTTCATGAAGAAAGGAGATAAAATGATAACTCCCCAAAGACCTATCATGGGGTAAATGGAAGCCCTTGAAATCGGGTCATCCCTAGGTAAAGAAAAATAGCACATCAAACCCTTCGAAGCGCATAACTTGAAGTTCTTGGAAAGTCATTGTAGGATGAGGAAGTGGATAAGTGGAGAGATTTCCCTATTTTACAAGGCTTCATGGAGCATTGTATGTTTCAGACCAGGTTGCAGAACTCGTTGAAGAAATTGAAGTTTTTTTTCTTCATTATAACCGCGAGCGAGATAAACACGACTATACTCGGATTTTTGCGAAATTAATACCGTTGTGAAGCATGCAGAATTTGCCTGATTATATCACTTGTAATCCAAGTCGTTGGGGGAGGAGCTCAAATACCTATGAGTTGTCCCCCCTTATTGGTGTAAGCTAGCTTAACCTCGAACGTGAATTTTTTTCTCCAAAAAATTTGATTTTTAGAGATATACAAGTTCTATCTATCTATGCGGCATGCAGTTTGTGAAGGATAGAACGAAATTCTTGAGGAAGTTTAGTGAGAACATCGCAGAAATTTGCTTTTGGGCCGCACTGGATTTTAGACGTATAAATCAAATATTATAGTTGGATGTCACATGGCACTGCAGATAGCATTATGCATCCACGATATAATTGTAGAACGTATCAAAAAGAAGGTCAGCAAGCAGCTGAATGGGATAAAAATGGATACTCTTCTGTAGCAGTGAAAATGGCGCACATTAAACAGGACACGAACATGAGAGAGGGGAGGGAGAAGAGGGGGAGGGCTTAATAAATGGTTTTCACTACCGCCATCGCAAGACTGTCTTTCAACACCGCAATAAGGTTTTTTTTTCCAAGCAAATGAGGAGAGAGAGAGGGATAGCCGTGTGTATGCACTTTGCTATTTCACGACTGCTGCAGGACAAATATACTAGGCTGTCTCATGCTCTTCTCTGATTCAAAACTATCGCTTTCCTATTCTTTTTTTCCTTATTTGGCTTGCAATACCACTACAGAGCAAAGCAAACCCACAAGATGGCTACCAAGCGCCGGCTCAAATCGTATTCCACTATGAAGATGATAATAGTGGTTGATCACGAGATTAAGTGCCAAAAATCTTCGTCTAAGCTCAATAAAATTCTCAATTACCTCTAGCATTACTTGACACATTGGACACTACACTACCACTTTCCATAATTCTTCCATAGTTAGGAATGAAGAAAAAGATGAGAAGAGTGAAATGGCCAAGTCTACCTTTAGCGGTCCTGGGTTCCTCTCAACGCAATTATATAGCACACATTCAGAAGTACGATCATTTGTATCTTTGTATTTGCCACAGTTCTCAGGATATATTTCAAATAAGAAGGATTCAAAATCAAAAACCTTAGGCCCCGGGCAGACTTCACGCGATTTGATCGCCGCGACTGAATCGCGACGAGACAACTGTTACAATATCATTCCATGCCGATCAACTTGCATTCGGTTGTGATACTTTTCCAGCCCGAAATTTTCAAATGTGAAATGAAAATGAATGGAAATCTTGGCGATTAGATCACGACGATTAAGTCGCGTGAAGTCTGTCCGGGGCCTTACGAGACAACCTTACAGACGATGAAAGCTCGAAAGTGCATTGGCAACCATTTTGTCAATATTTGGGCCACTTGCGCAAGAATAACCAAGCTTACTTATTGCTGACACAGCAACAGCCGAATGCCCTGGTCTGCCTACGTTTTTTGAATCTTCAGTAGCAAAATGGAATGGGGTATTAAGTAGTAAAAACGCGTCCGAGAAGGAGAAAGAAGTGTTGGAAAGGGGAGGGAAGAGATCAGATCAGCACGACTTGTTAGAACCAGCAGCTTCTTGTGCAAGTGAAAAAAATGTGCGAAGATAAGAAAAACAGCCGACCTGCAAACTCGTCAGAGCCTCGTTAGTTTCCGCTCGTAAGCGCTTCTCGGTCTCAAATCGTGATTTCCAATCTTCAGCAGACTCTTCCGCAACTACGACCCGTTCTTGTAGCGACGAGAGTTCAGCCTACAATATTGATTATTCAGATGTATCGGCATTATTCTTGAGCTCTGGTACCTAATACCTTCATGTTTTCCGCTGATCTAGCTGATTCAGAATCAGCAGCGTTTACGGAACTTTGCAAAAGTCTAATCTGTTCTCTCAGTTCAGTCTCTCTTTTCTCAGCTTCCACAGCTTCTGTTGTCGAAGTTTCTTCGATAAGAAGTAGGTGCTCTTTGAGCCGCTGTAGTTCACGAGACATTTTTTCGCGGGAGCTCTGCTCACTGAAGTGGAGAGATTAGAAGGAAAACAATTTATGGATGTTGTGTCTGCTTCGTCGCTGTACTAACCTCGCTATTGCTTGTGCAGATTGTTGTTCATTACTTGTTAATTTCTGCTCTAATGCAGCCACCTGAGCCAAAGCTGCCTCTAATCGGGTGTAGTAATCGACACTTTCCGAATGTTTTTGTGTGATCACCTGAGAAGGCAATTCTACTAACATTACAGAAGATAATCAGCTTTGAAAAAGCACCTGTCGGAGCTGTTCATTCTGTTGGGCCAGAGTCTCAACCACCCCATTTCTTTCCTTGAGTTGCGCTTCTAATTCTGCATAAGACTAAAAAACCGTGTTTTAACAAATGACATTTATTTTTGTCTGGTAACAAGATAAAAAAGGCATCAGTATAGAAATAAATACCTGTCGAAGCTGCGCATTCTGTTGTGTCAGTGTTTCAACCACTTCATCTCTTTCCTTAAGTTTTCCTTCCAACTCGGCGAAAGACTAAATAAAAGCTATAACTTTTAAAGAAAGATTTTTTTCTGGGATGACAATTTGATCAAGGGTATAAGAGACAAAAGAGAGTAAGCGCCTAATTTGGTAAGTAGGTCACAGTAGTGATTGTTCACTTCACATTTTGCGAGTACATAAGCATTTACCATACACTACTAACCTAGATTATAAAAATAGTGCAGCACAGTCTAGATTTTTATGTCTAGCCCCTATAACAGAGCTCGACTCAGCTGGCACCAGGGAATTTTCAAAACGAAATTCCCTTTGACTTTCGCCAAATTTTACGAAGTCCCCTTTGATCCTAAACCATAAACGTAAAAAAACTCTCAAAAAACGAAACGCAGACTAAAAAACTTCGTCTTTTCGGCCACAAAAACGATATCCCTTTTGCTTTTTGCCCCAAAAACGATATCCTGCTTGCCTTGTGCCAGCTGGTGCCAGGCCCCTGTAGACAGTAAAAAGGAACTCTGTTTGATATCAAACTACATCAGTACAAGTTATGTGGTAGAAGAAGTACAACCTATGGAAGTAGTATGACTGAAAACCGAGAAAACCTCGGCTTGAATCACCTTAGTGTCTCTCAATTTTCGACTATGATACATGAAAAGAGCTGGTAACTGCAGCTAGCAAAAACAGTTTTAGCAATACAGAAAATTCGATTGGAACCAAACGCAATGAATATCTCAACATGTCGCATGTTGAGATATTCAATCGGTATCACTAGGAACGCATACGTGAGCAAAGAAATCAAGAAATGCTGGTACTAAGTGAGTGACAGAACAAAGGAAATGTTGACATTTCCTATTAGTAAGCACTATAATTATTACTTGATTGGATTAATGAATAAACTCATCAACTTAGCAAGTAATGTATCGCTAGGTTCGTTCGGAGATAGCAGTGAGAAAGTATCATATCATCAAATTTGAGAAGCCTCCCCTTTTGCAAGTTTTTGAGCAAATCAAAAAATTTTTTGCAAATAGTGATGAGTTTGCGAGCTGTCTTTTCTATGTACATAAAGAGTTTCGTCTTCCAACAAGAATGGAGCAAACAGCAATTGTTTTTACAGAATGAATTCGAGCGCCAAAAACATGCCTCTTTGAGGGAACAATGATTGTTCAAGCTAGAATTTCAAAAGCGCAAATACATATCAAATTTTCCCCAGCTGGCCTGCGTGAGTTGTCGAAAGAAAGAGCCAAAACTGAGGAATGAGTATGATTTTCACAGCAAACATCATAGCACCGCGTTTGGATTATACGAGGTGAAAATTTCGCCGTTAGTATGACTCATAAGATGAATTAGTAAATGACAAAACCATCAGAATATCATGTACTCTCCAAATATTGTTAACTTCGACATAAGATTATTCCGGCTTCACAAAAGGAAATAATATTCGTCACTGGACGCATCAATGATCAAATTTTTTCTTCAGCACTACGTCTCAGCTTGACTGTCATTTCAGGTACAGGAGGGAACGAGGTACTAGGGCGGCAAAACGGACTTCAGCGACGAAAGACTCTATGAGTGGATAGCATATCAAAATTTTCCCTTGGTAAAAAGTCAGTTTGTTGAAAGAGCATGAACCACTTTGAAAGTGCCTCCACAGTGTCAAAAACTCACATCTCAGGCAAAATTGAGAGGGACGAAAATGTACCAACGCTTCTTTAACGATCAAAAATTACAACATGATACTCTACAGAAACAAGAATTACTCAAAGAATAAGGATTCCAAAAATGAGGATAATTCTCTGATACTTTTTCTCTGGCGACAGTTGAAAAAAATTCCTAGCCAAGAAGGATGTAATATAGACAAATACTCGCAAAGAAAAGAAAAGATCTTTCTAGGTAAACAAGCATATGTGTTATGAAACAGTACGTAAATGTTCTCAAACTTTTCACTGAACTAGTAGTGAAGTAGTTAAATAAAAGATACTCAATAGCTATTCAGACAATTACTTTATCTAAGCCAGTGATCAAGCGGCTGCTCAAACCATTCAAGGTCAAAAAATTCAGATTCCAAAGTTCAGCTCCGAACTTTAAAACGCGAAAGATCCGCTCGGAAAGAGTATGGTAATGAGCGAAACAAAGCTTGAATCTCTCGGCTTGGATAAATCATATGAATTCCGCTTGAACGATGCTTAGAAGGGACTTTCAATTAGTTTCTACAAAAGAAGTGCAGACACTCAGTATACTAACACATTACCCAGATGATACCGCACTCCAAACGACCCAGTACAAAAAGAAAACGCAGCAGCAAATTACAAACTCGCTTTACAATGTAAAACCAAGATTAATTAGAACAACGGATCAGAACTGTTACGATTTAACGGGAAAAGATAGGACTATCACACTATTCCATTCACACTATCACAAATTGCAATAAATCAACGTTTCGATAAACCAAAGCTAAAAATGTTACAATGCAGGCTGCAATATGGTCAGGATTGGACGAAAATGGCAGTGCAGTACGGAGAATTTTTTTTTATTGAAATTTTCGGTGAGATGCGACTGTGAGATAGAAGGCAAAAACTTGAAAATGATGACGAGAATGTGCTGCATTTTCCAACTAGGATTTAAGTGTCATCTTACAAGAATACAGGCTCATTCCTGAAGTTTTCAATGTAATGCCCTTAAGGGCGGGGCATACTTCGCGCGATTTCGGTCGCGACGCGATTTGCCAATATTCCAACTGTCCATAACTCACTGTAAGTACATTTCAGATGTACAGAATGACATTTTATCATCCGCGTAAGTTATACACACTATGCAAGTGCAGTTTGCTAGTGTTGGATCTGAAGACTTATGGCAAATTGCCAAATCGCGTCGCGACTGAAATCGCGCGAAGTATGCCCGGCCCTTAAGGGAACCACTTTGTCCATGTGTTATGTCAAAAGATTGGCACAAGTTGGCACCTAGGAATGTCAAATCTAAGTTTCCACTAATCTTGCAAAATCTTTCGACGAACCTTTTATAAAATTCTCAAATGGATGGATTCAATAATCAGCTTCGCAAACAGCGAAAAGAACCGAATGGAAGAGGCAGACGGAAGGGACAAAAAAGACGAAGAGAATTGGAAAATAACAGCAGAAGGGTGAAAGAAAGACAAAAAGGATGGTCTAATTACATCCCTGTAGTGAAGCGAAGAAGGCGAAGCTTGAAATGGCTAATGAAACAGAACTTCAGGTAAATAAATTTTGAGAAAAAAAACTCAAAGATTATGCGAAGAGAAAAATTCATGATACCGTTTTCTTCTATATTATCTCAGGTTTCCCTCATGTAGCAGGGTGTAACCTAATGTAGGATGTCTACCCCGATTTTTCATTTTTTTTTCAAATTATTCTGTTCGCGCGAAAATCACATGCGAAATCCGATATCAATCATTGATTATTTGTTTTGAATAAGCCATTTTTCCAGATCTAGAGAATCTTCGTTGCACGCGACCATTCTTCTGTGACTTTGAATAAGCAGTGAGAAGGGGAAGAAAGGCTTGACGCACGCGACTTGTTCAAAAAAATCACGCAGAACAACTGTCGGATACTGTTGTGCAAAACGGCCATCCCATGGAAACGACAGCTAGCTTACCCATGCGCGAACTGTGGCTAGTGCTGTGTTACTAGCAATATAGAATCACCTGTTTCAAAAGCTTGAGTTCTTCTTCCAAACGACCGGCATCCTCAGACGTTATAACTACTTCGATCTAAAAAAGCGGGATACACCTATTTTGAAGATTGAATACAATGACAAAGCATCAGAAGCATCCAGAGCATCATACAAACCTTGCTGGGAGAAGCTTGCCTCTCCTCTACTCCATCGTTTCCAGATTCTTTGTTCGCTTCGTCCGTTAATGTGGATTCCTAACAAAAACACTAACACTGAGATTACAACTTATGATATAAGAAGATACCTCCGGCTGCTTCCGATTCACTTCATCGTTTAGCGTGCTTAATGATCGATCCTTCTCCAAAATCTGCAAGCCAAACGGAAAGATTATCAAAACTGAGTGAACATAACTCACTTGTTGTTTGAGGTGCATGTTGTTTTCTGCGGCTAGTTGCAGCTGTACTTGCAAGACGTTTGTTTGCGCAATCATCTCATCTATACACGACTGCCGCACCTAGAAACATGATTTTTAAAGCAAGAAAAAACCCAAGATAATCTAAACATACAGTAACTTCCTTTTCCAAATCGTCAGTTTGTTGCCTAAGTTTCTCACACTCCTCAGTCTTCTCCGCATTCGCAGCGAGCGCTTCACGAAGTTGGTCGGTAAGCGCGGTCACCTAGCGGTCACAAGCACATCGAGTATTGATCATGGGCAAGGAATAAAAAATAAAATGTATGTAAACCCAGCCTGAGATCTTAAAGGCAGCGTCCAGGCAGATCTGGACTTATGGGGCTTTTACGTGGAAAGTACATTTGGGGCCCAAACTAAGCCACTGCCCAAGCGGCAGCTCAGGTAGTGCTCTAATGGCTGAGATATTCCCCTCGAAACTGGCCCTCGTGAACGTATTCGCATGGATTCATGGCAGTTTCGCGCCAGGATCCACGCTTTGCGCCATGAATCCATGCGGAACACGGTCGCGGGGTCCAGTTTCGAGGGGAATATCTCAGGCGTTAGGGCACTACCTGAGCTGCCGGTTGGGCAGTGGCTTAGTTAGGGCCCCAAAAGTACTTTCCACGTAAAATCCCCATAGGTCCAGACTTGCCTGGACGCTGCCTTTAATTCCCACAAGACTAACCTCATCACTGTTCGACTTTCGCTGATCCGCCTCTTTTCGGTCAGCTCTTTCTTGCAAATCGCGCAGTGATGTCTGAAGTTCTTCTCTGTGTTCCTCCAAAAGCCTATACAATGACTCAAATCAGAAATAAAGAAAAACTAGGTACAGATATAAAAAACTAAAGAAAGCTTTCGGAAAATTTTCTGCGTATTATGCCTGTGCTGAATCATCATCATTCATTTTGGTACAAGCTGTAGTGAATGAATAAATAAAGAAAATTTTACTAGTGAATAATAAGTAAAAATTTTACAAACGGAATTCCAAAGCGCGGCAGAAATATAAGATTGAGAGCCGCACATCGCCTAGAAGCAACAAATTGTGAAATAGTTTTGCGCAATTCAGTCGCCATGACAAATAGTCATCACCCTGCGCGTGTTTTGAGCAAAGAAGCGCACCAATTATTCGTAGGTTTTCAGAATTCGACTTAGTTTCTCACTAAATCGCCATTTAACCACAATTTCCTAATTTTAGTGACGGTGAGGCACACTGGTCACTGAAGCGGTCGCGCTGATACACAATGCTGATCCATAGCAGGCAAGTGCGAAAAACTATGATAGAGCTAACCTATTGCAGATGTTTTTTTTCGCAAACTTTCACTGCTATATGGCAAGATATTAACAGAATCTTCAGCCATAGACAATCTTAAATATAAATTTGAATGTCCGCCTGTACATATGTTCCAGATAGAAAATTCCATTTCTGAACCGATACGGACCATACTTTGCACAAATACACTTCAGGGCCAGGCGGGTGCCACAGGGTACCTTTCGTCATCGATGGATGTCGATTTTATCGATTTTTGTAAAGTTTGAGCTACGGGGCTGGGAGCTGGCATAGGGGGGGGGGGGGTAATCGACCATGCTGATTACGAAGACAATATTAGTTTTTAGAATCAGCGGTTACTTTCATCGATTTTATCGATTTATTTGCAAAGTTTGAGCTACGGGGCTGGGAGTTAACACATGGGGGAGGGGTCGAGCATGCTGATTACGACTACAATATTAGTTTTTGGGATTATCGGCTATTTTTATCAATTTTATCGATTTGTTGCAAAGTTTGAGCTACGATGCTGGGAGTTGGCACAGGGGGTATTTGCGCACGCCGACTACTGAAACAGCGGGAATAGGGAATGGCAGGGAATGGCATATACACTTGAGCACAGGGGAAAGTAATAAGATAGGGATGAAAGCTTTACCATAGTGTTTTGACAGGGCCGAGCCGGGCAAGCCAGGCAAGCCGGGCAGCCGGGCAAGCCAGCTAGTTGGTAATGATTCTAAAGTTGAGAATTCTACTTCACTTCGTTGATATACTCCGAATCATGAAATTTGACCAGCGCACGGCGAGTTCATATCAAATCCAATTTACAACACAAGGTCTACATGTTGCGCATCAGGCAGCGAGACTTCGCAAAAGAGAACGCTTCAAAGGCACTGTCCACCCAGATTCTCGACTTCCATGTTTTGGTCGTTCGGGGCCCACTCATGTTCCTGATTCCGAATATGAAGTCGAGAATCTGTGAAAACCCCGACAATCTCCATTACGCAGGACCGGCAGGCCGGTTCTCTGAAAAGGTGATTGGATAGGCGCGCACGGAGGGGCGGGCATTACCTTTATTGGTACTGATATACCAAACGTAAGCATATTTTGGATGAAGTATAGCGAGGAGATTGAAATAGTCCTATGCCCACTGCGCACTAGTTCAGACAACATTCGCAAGAAAAATGTCTTTTCTAAATTATCAAGTAAAAATACTGCCAAACACGACAATTTGGCACTTTAAATTATTTCGACTCACTACAAGCTAGTCACAAAAATCCACAAAGGCATAGGATGTTCTATGAACGTCGCAAATATGATAGCTTGTAAACGACAAAGAGTGATTGAAACAAAGTGCATGAGCATAACTGAATGTGACATATATGTTTGTTCATTAGAGTGATTATCTGTACAAAGGCACGAGATTCCAAAAAAAGGACAATGAATCAATAATATTGCACTCGCTCATTTTTAAGTGTTCATTCTAATACGGCTTTATGTCAATACGAAGCAGTAAAGAACTTAGGTAAAAACTGCGACAAGAGGGTACACTAAAAAATAGTTCACTTCCACTGAGAATCAAAAAACTTTTTCCTCATGGAAATGAGTGGCGTAGCGCTATGAGGTGCTGCCGTGGCCAGCGAGTTCTAAGTTTGTCCCCGAAAAAGCCGAACAAGCCCTCTAACTACTAATAAAATGAATCATTATCAGAGTAATATGAGAGGATTGAAGCACTGTCTCATACATCAGCAAGTCATCGCATCTATCCGCAGCAGGAGTACCAAAGCGTTCAAATCATTTGATGCCGTATTAACTATTTGCCAAACTCAAAAATTCAGATATGCTCGGACGCTGCCTTCGCTAGAATTTTCTAGGAACGTGGTAAAAATCACCATGACAGTCATAGCAAGTCAAAAAGATTTTTCAGAGCTAGTGCAAAGATTTCCAAATGGAAAAAGAATGAGAAGTGGAACAATCATTCATAATTTAACCCACGAGATTTTTTCCTCCAACAATTGTGTTCGTTTAGAATCAGTCTCTTCTTGTTTCTTCATGTGAGCATTAACTTCCGATAGTAGTCTCGACTCTTCCGAAAGCAACCTGAACTAGGAAATTGATTCAAAGACCATTTCGTACTTCACTACCTGTTCCTTTCCTGGAGCATAATAATTTCCTCACGAAGCTCTCTATTTAGATTTTCAAAAGCAGTCGACTGCTGGTCAGACAACTGTTGAGAATTTGAAGAGTGCTCGTTCATGAAGTCCTGCGCAGCTGAGCTCTCGAGCACGGCATTGTAGCTAAATCTTACGCTCAACGCATACCATGATCAATGGAATAAACTTACCGATCTATTATCGCAGCCATTCTTTCATTTTCTTGAGAAAGACGTTGGTTTGATACACGGAGCGCATCGAGCTCAGTGTCTATACCTTCTATGGTAGTGCGGAACTTATCAACGTCAGCACGAAGTCGGTCTCGATCTTGCTTCGCTTGATCCAATGCCATTCGTAACCGCTCCACTTCTACCTAAAATAAAAACCATCGATGACCACGAATATCCTATCAGTGCTAGTCAGACGTTCTAAAAGTATACATAATCGAAAGCGTCGTTGAAAGAGCTTCACTTACAGACATATCTGAGTCCTTCTGGTCGCGCACGTCAGCAAATCCTGTCTTCAGACGTTCGAATTCGCCAGAAAGACGTTCAAGCTGGGCTACAGTCTCCAAATTCTCTCGTTTGCACATTTCATAGCGCTCCTCGTACTCGATAAGGTTCGCTTTCAGAAGATCTTGACAAGAAATGAGTTGATAAACAAAAAGAAGGCAACCATGCTACTACCTATTCGTCGTGTTAGATCCTGGTTGTTATTGTCTTGTGTATTTGCAGCAGTAGCCTCCTTGTATTTTTCAAACTCCTCGTTCAGATCATTGTATGCCTGTGCAAGCTCTTTGTGCTGGATTCTGGAAAATTTCTACTTCAGTTCTGAAGCTACAACTAGGTAATAAGAATATGACGACATACTTCAAGTTTTCTGCTTCAGCGACTTTAGCTTCCATCTCTGATGTACTCGCTTGTAGATGGTCTATCATAGACTGTGCTTCTCGTAGCTTTTCTTCCAAGTCAGAAACGTCATTGCTATTGCCTGATCTCTCAACGAAATCGAGTACGACAAGTCGATCATCTGCTGCAGTGACCGATGCGTCAGCTGTTGAAGGGCAAGCGCTTTCGCGTTGCTTAACCTATGCAGCACAATTATGAAAAAGTTGAAGATGGACCTAAAGTGTAAAAACAACCTCAGAAACGCTAACCATTTCTTCAAGTTTCCTCTTAGTTTCTAACAGCTCTTCCTTCTCAAGCAAGACTGCGTCCAGCAAGGATGTGTTGCTGGTTGATGAAGATGCTTTACCCTAAAATATGCCACTCTTTTTACTGTGGTCCGAACTTTAGAAGGTCTTGATGAAATCAGCGCTCATTTCTGACACGAGGACTAACATAAAACAATTTAAAGCGCAGTGGGTAAAGCGAGGAGCTTATGCAATGAAATAAGAAACAGGCGGCGGACGCATGCACGCACGCAGAGCAAAAGCGGCCGACGATCAGGAAATCACCGCTCACAAAATTTGCAGCCTATCGTCTAATCACTGCAACCGAAAAAACGTTTTCTATCTGATCAAACGAGCACTCATTTACGTACAATAAAAAACGTTAAAGTGAACATTCGATTGTTATGAGAAAGCTGTCAAGCGAAAGCTGTCCCAAATGGCTAACACAAACCCCGAAAAATAACATTGCAAAACAAAAAACAAATGGCAAGAGTTTATATCCTTCATTAGGGAAACTCACTTCTAATGCGCATATTCGCTCTTCATACATCTCTCTCATTTCATTCATATTCCGAGTATGCATTTCTACCAAGGAAGCTATCTCTTCCTCTTTTCGTCTCCGTTCTGATGCCAGCCGTTCCTCCATTTCCTTAGGCGATACCTTAATCATGAAATTCGTCAATAAACATGAAAAAAGTCGCAATCACAAAATCAGTCGCTGTCATTATTCTGCAATAATAACAGCGACTGATCATTACTCACACAAATAACTAATGTATCATTTGTTCGAATTCTTCAGTGACATAAGTAATGTCTATAATAGGAGCGAAAACCATTTATGTGATAAAAAGTAGCTTAGATTCTCACTAACAACAGATCAATACAATGAAAGGCATATCTTATGACTTTTGTGTGATAGGCGTCAGATAAGCGAAAGTCGACGCCGCATGCATGTCTTATGTCACACTCTTAATCGCCCTTTCAATACCAACTCTTCCAGCTTTATATTCTAAGCCCTAAGGTCCTATTTGTCCTAAACGTTTCTAATCTTCAGTCAAATTGAACGACATTGAGCGCCAATGGGAGAACCAGACGTACATGAAAACGGCGTTGATTTTTGGAAGCACCAGCTGCCGATGTGTGCACATTTTGATGAGCCGAGTTTCAAATTGAAATCGGGGCCAATTCAAAAGAAACAGCAGATTACGGTCCGGTTTCAACAAAAAGAGAGAGAAAGCATAGTGACCCTTCGCCAACATCTTTTATTTGCACACTTTCAGAGCAACCACCTTGGTGTGACAAGTTACATATGACCTCGAACAAGACCAAAAATCGAAGTGAGATTATCTATAATTAAAACAGCAAAAAAAATTCTCTTGTAAGGGCTGGACTAAAAGCAGTATTCCAAGTTCAAGGCTGTACCATATCTCTTTGCTTGAATAGACTCACAATCAATCTTACCTTGCTTGAGTCCGCTTCAACAAGTGACTTCCAATGAGCAATCTCTTTCCGTAAGTCCAGTATAGTCTGTTCTACATTACCCGTATCGATATCAGAAGATGTTGAACCAAGCTGAGAACGCTCCAGTTCAGTCTAAAATAATGGTATTAACTATTTCGGCGAAAGAAGAAAAAAGAGAAATCCAACCACTTACCCTCAATTTCTTAATTTCTTCGTCTCTAGCTAAGATCATGTTCCTGTGCTGCTCCGTGACCATATCAATATCAACTTGATACGCAGATAGCTGTTGTTGTTGCTCATTCACTTTATCTTCTAATGTGCTCACTTTGGACTGCTCCAAGACAAGAGCTCGCTCAGCATCTGCCAGTTTTTTCTTGGCAACCTTAAAATAAACTAATATAATGGTTGCTGCGTGAACTCTCTGTTTTGAGAAAGATCCCGTGTTCGGACTCAAAAGATCCTAGTCACTATACTTGGGGAAATTCGAAATTTTTTTCGAATATTCGAATATCGAATATATTCGAAAATTGAAAATTTCGAATATTCGAATATCGAATAATATTCGAAAATCGATATTCTCGAATATTCGACTATGGAATATTATTCGAAAATTGAAATTTTCGAATATTCGACTTTCGAATATCATTCGAAAATCGGAAATTTCGAATATTCGACTATCGAATATTATTCGAAAATGAAAATTTCGAATCGAATAATATTCGAATATCGAGTATCATTCGTTATTCGAATTTCGAATATTATTCGGTTCTCCAATGTTATTCGATTTTCGAATATCATTCGATTTTCGAATACTGACCGAATAATTTACGTCATTTAGACTGCCTATGAAAGGCCAAAACACTAAGAACAAATTGTTTTATGTAAGTGCTAAGATGGACACATTCTTATGGTACAATTTACGATGGAAAAACGGTTTAGTCGTGACGTGAAGAGACTTAGGAACTTGAAAGCTACTCCTGTGACGGTTGTGAAGAGATTTTTCGTACTTCAAAGAAGATTATATACCCTCACTGAGAGCTGATATACAGCGGTCCCAACAGTATGTAGACCTGTAGGCTGACATCAACTTAGAGTATAGGCGATTTATCAATCGCTTTTCACTTTTGTAAAATTACCGTAAGACTGAAGCAGGTTTCAAAGAAGAGCCACCATTTCCCCAAGAAGAAGAATCAAAAGGTCTTGCTTTAGATCTCTAAAGACACTCACTTTGTGTAGAATTTGCACCCAACCGTAATGCTTTTTTCAAAATTTACGCCAGGTTTCCTGTGCCCCTCCCCCCCCCCCAGAAAAGTTCCCATGTGAGCCAGCGTGCGTACGTGGTGCGACGCTGCCTTTCGCTCTTTTTGACACGTTTCTTCTGACAAGGGAAGGATACTCGGTCGAAGTGGCCATTTGGAATGAGCTGTATATTAGGAAACCGTCCTCCGTAAGACAAACTCAAAACTACTTTCGCTAGGTGCCGAGCGGTTTTGTGGGGCGAGTTACAAGGCCATTTTCCTCCGGCGCAGCTGGTGAACCCAGTGATGAGCGAGGCGCTAGAGTAAGGCATCAGTGTGGCGGTGGCGCAGTGGCAACGCAGCGGACTACGAAGCAGATGGTCGAGGGTTCGAGTCCTGTTGCTGCTATTTTGTTTTGCAGTTCTGTAAAAAGTCTATTGGGTGACAGCAAACGAGAAATACTATTTCTAGGCAGTCGAAACAAGCTAGTTAGTGCAAAAAAGCCACTATTTCTGCAATAAATTATACTGCAATCTTCTAAAATATGTAATGTGGAGGTTATGATGTCACAACAAGGGATTCAAGTGATATATTAACATGTATGGAATACAACCACAAAATGCTCAAAGTAGAAGAGCTTTTCGCAGCGCGCACATCGGATAAAATGAAACGATGACAATCAGCAGCTTCACAATTGCCTATCAAAGTCGGTGAAAAATAGTACTGAATAGGAGACTCGAATTCGCCGGGGTGGTTGTCAATGTATCCGGCTGCATCCATGGGTATGAAAGCAAATTTTTGAATCGCGGCGAGCAAAATTGTGTGTAAATGAGCGATAAGATCTTAAGGATGGAATCCCTATGATGCAAGGTAAAGTTCAGATCAAGAGCCAATAAATGGGATGTGAATCGATTGCAATTTTGCAAGTGCGCGCGTTGCGAGAAGCTCTTCTGCTTTGAGCATTTTGTGGTTGTATTCCATACATGTTAATATATCATTTGAACCCATTGTTGTGACATCATAACCTCCACAGATTTACATATTGCAAAAGATTATGGCTTATTATAGAAATAATGACTTTTTTGCAGTAAATAGCTTGTTTGAACTGCCCAGAAATAGTATTTCTCCTTTGCTGTCACCCAATAGACTTTTTACAGAACTGCAAAACAAAATAGCAGCAACAGGACTCGAACCCTCGACCATCTGCTTCGTAGTCCGCTGCGTTGCCACTGCGCCACTGATGCCTTATTCTAGCGCCTCGCTCATCACTGGGTGCACCAGCTGCGCCGGAGGAAAATGGCCTTGTAACTCGCCCCACAAAACCGCTCGGCACCTAGCGAAAGTAGTTTTGAGTTTGTCTTACGGAGGACGGTTTCCTAATATACAGCTCATTCCAAATGGCCACTTCGACCGAGTATCCTTCCCTTGTGAGATTTCAACGGAACTGCCCGAGGTTAACACGTTCAGAATAGCGAAAGGCAGTGACATGACGTGGTCCTATGGGAAATTTGCTGGGGAACAAACGATACACCGTAACAAGTGTTTTGCAACGCCCTTTAAAAATGTGATTGCCCTTTGAAAAGCTTGAAAACTCGTGCGTAGTAAAATCAGCAGACGTAAAAACACTGCTGCACAGATTTTAGACCTTTTTTGGGGACAATTTTTTTGGATGTCTTATTTTGCTGTTGGTCTATAAGCTGGAGTTTCCTACTGTGATAATACACAATGAGAAAAACATGGGTGATTCGCTTTCTGCTGTATTTATAAGCTGAAGCCATCCCTACTGGATGTTACCCAGAAGTTGGCAAAAGACTTTGAGAGGTATTAGCGATCAAACGGTGTGTAGATACTTTTAAGGCATCCTGTATACGCTATGCGTATCGAATTTTCGAATATTCGGCGCTTATCGAATTTTCGAATAGTCAATTCTTATCGAATTTCCGAATATTCGGTGCTCGACGAATATTCGAATATTTGATGGACATCGAATGATCGAATAAATGACCCTCGAATATTCGACTATCGAATAATATTCGAAATTTGAGATTTTCGAATATTCGACTTTCGAATAATATTCGAAAATGAAGATTTTCGAATATTCGACTATCGAATATATTCGAAAACTGAAAATTACGAATATTCGACTTTCGAATTTTATTCGAAATCTCAAATTTTCGAATATTCGACTTTTCGAATCATTCGCATTCGAATGATTTATTCGAATGATCGAATAATTATTCGATTCGGTCCCAAGTATACTAGTCACCTATGTGGGTGGAATTGTGGCGTTTTCTTTATTTCAAGAGGGCAGTGGAATATAGCACTGAAATCGCGACTCTCAGAACAGGCTCAGTCAGGAAAAAAGTGATCTTTGATTCTCTTCTTTCGTAAGCACAAAAGCCATGCCCCTATAAACGCTTAGTGAACAAAATACAAACAAGAGTACAACCTCTTCGCACAATAAATCAGCACTGCATGAACCACTGCGTGAGTTTATTGGCACAAAGTTGATCACACACTGCTAATAGAAGTTTAAAGGCACCGTCCACCCAAAATGGAGGTTGGCGAGATTATGATGGCATAGTAGTGTGGGTCCCCACACTAGGCAAACCCCCAGGCTTCGCCGCAAAAGGCTGCTTCTGGAGCGAGAAATCCGCTACGGAAGTAGTAAAGTCCCGCCCACTTGCATGCTTTATCTCGCCTGCGCTTGTTGCAGGGGGTTCTCGAAACAGGGATTCTTGGGGTTTCACGGATTTTCGCCTCTATCTTCGAAAGCAGGGCTTTCAGAAGGCCTGAAGGCGACAAAAACATTGAATTCAAGATTTCAAATGGACGATGCCTTTGAGTACTATATTTCCGATGGAAAGACCAAATTTATGACAAAGGGATAAAGTCCTAAACTTGGAATCCCCGACTAGTCCGACTGCGATTTCGGCCGAGTTTTAGTTCCGCAATACAAGCGAACATAAGAGAAAGCAAAACACAATGCTTTAAATGATCCAGAAAGATATGAAAGAACTCGGATTTGCATAAGACAGGCTGATCAGAAAAAAAGCTTATCATCTGCAAAATGTATACCAAAATCAAGAAAATCTGCAAAATGTTATCCAGGTCCAAACCTTCTAACAGCGTAGTAATATAGCAAATAAGGAAATAAGCAAAATTACTCATAGGAGGCTCAAGACACAAATTCGCATGGCGTCGTTCTTGTTGAGTACAGCGCAAATGGTAATAAGCTGAAGCCATTCCCTTTCATTTGATCAAAGAAAGAAGAGAAGAAACCCACAAAATAAGATTGCAATTTGATACTTCACAAAAAAAGGATCACAATATTCATAACCGCATAAGCAAGATCCAAACATGACAATATTGCGCTTTCTTATTTCGCTTGTTTTAAATTTCAATGCACTAATGAGGTTTGCGTTAAATCAGAAGCAGGGAATAGCAAGAAGCCGCCAGCGCAGCACTCGCGGATACTGATCGATTATGTGCAGGTAAACACGAACCCGTTTGCAAAATCCAGCCAGAAGAGTTTCAGGAAAAGATCTGTTGTTTTCTGTTTGTTTTTGGTCACTATTTCGTGACCGTATAACTAGGTTGTTTGAAGCCACTGATTATAATGTGATTCATATGAAACAGTGACTGCTTGTGAGTCACAAATTACTCTCCCGCAGTTTTTCCCTGAAACCCAGAATGCCGCAGTCTACCAAAAGGCTGCAATGCTGATAATCAATCGTATCGATTTTACTCTAATGCTGCTGCAAAAAACCACCAAGTTTCGTATGTCACTTGCGAAGAGACCATGCGCAAACGTTATCATTACCTAATTCACACAAACAGACAATCTGCCACGGAATATAAAGGAGCGCTGCCGTCAGTCCTTCAACACTTCGATACATTAAAGAAATCCTCGTTAGCTTCCTTGCTCTATTACATTTTCAATCTTTTAGTGCTGCAGGAAGGTGCAATAAGCGACGGCTTCAGACGGCTGGTACAGTCTCGCTAATGACAGTGTTCTCAGTTTTCACTTAGTAGGAAAAAGGTCAAGATGCGCGATTTTTTTCATCAAGTCAAAGACCCAGTCAAGTATTATACAACCTTTCAAAAAGTGCCAAAAAAATAGTGCTTTGGTTTACTAGGTGATTGAAGTTGCTGTTTACAGAGTTTGGCATCCTGATGGAAAAATGGGAGAAATATTTACGATTTTAAAACTAATCGCATTCAAGGTTCTCTGATCTTCAACATTTATTTTCCAGATTATTTTGTGCATCTAGTTTTGTGCAGCTCTCACATATCTCTTTTGATTTACACAAATCACGGTTCCCCAGAAAGGATCAAACGACAGAAACTCAAATGTGGCCAATCACACAGCACTTTACATAACTTACGTCATACATACATTATGAGTTGGAAGTCACGTATAATACAGAAGAAAATGACGCCAAAAGGACCATCTCACCTGTAGCTCTGACTCGGGATCTTGGACTTCATCTGTAGCTTCGCTGAGAACTTCGCTAGCTAGCTCTGAAAGTTGTCCTTGAAGGTTCCGAAGCCAACTCATGCAAGAAAGACCTGGAAGTGATTCATACTTTATTGAAAACGCGAACACTGTACGACTCATGCACATTACACCATCAGAAGTTAAGATTGATCAAATGAATGAGTAAGCTTCACGAAAGTCAAGTCGAAAGCTTGCAGCTGTTTTGCGCTTCCACGTCTCAGATCACGTGACGCAAACGTAGGTTTCATAAAGTGTGACGTGCTGCTCTGCATAAGATGTCACTAGGAAAATTTTGAGTTACAAGACAGCAGAGCAAAAAGGCGTAACAAGCAATCACAGAGGAATTAAAACTAATTCAAAACATTTTTTTTGCTACAAGTGGAGATGAAATGATAGGTATATAGGAAAGGAGATCGCGCAAAGTAGGAGAAGGCAATCACAGATAGCAACCACTAGGACAAACCAATCCGTAATGTTGACGAAAAAAATTTCCATTCGAAGTCACGTGTACAACACTCTAAATTGTTACAGCGTAGACAACATTCCTGCGTAAACGACATTCATATTATATTATGAAGCTGTAGCTCGCTTCGAAAGTGCATGCAGATCCGTACCGCGTTTGAATGCATTGAGTCAAGGACAAGTCAAGAGTGAAGCACATGCACTGTGGCAAATCTAGAATGTTTGTTGTCCGTCAGACACAATGCATGTTGTTGACTGACGGAACGCGCCCTCGTTTGGCGTGATCAATTCTATGTGCAGCGCCCCGATGGTGGTTCAATGATTTTATACTTTTTGGATGGAAAACTGCTCGTATCGACCGCTTTTCTTTTTGATTCCCACTTCGAAAGCATATTACAACGTTGAAGTTCGCTCTTTTTTGGGAACCCATTGGCCGGTCATATCAGAATTTGCTTTTCAAAGCGAATTGCAGAATCAATGTAAGTTCTTCAAGTGCCCTCAACCTCGTCTCTGAACCGTCTTGTCCTGACTTCTGGGAGTACATCTGTCTCAGATGGAAAATGATCATGGTTCAATGAGAATAGAGTGCCTCCTTCCTCACCATGTGGGATTTTTGTGATGGTCACAAATGAGAAAAGAAAAAGTCGGAACCTATATTCTGTTTTATTTGCTCCTCCACTAGACTAAGTATCTACAGGGTTGCAATCTTCGGAAATCACGTAACGGAAGGCAGTATGAATATATTGATAGTTGCGAAATAGGGCTTTAATTTCACACGAGGTCATGAAAAGTGTTTGTACATCGCAAAGTTGGCCTAATCAAATCTCTGGCTAATCCATCGTTTTGCTTTGCTGGATGCCAGCAGCACTTTCACTTCGTTTCTGAACAAATTCTGATTTGCAGAGCACCCTCTTCACATTGTTGCGCCTAGTCGCATTTTATCAGGATTTGTTGTTATAGAACGTTCAGGGTCGAATTCACCAACAAGAGTGAGTGAAGCTTTTGTGAAAAATGGAGGAGGGTACTTCAACAGCCGAACCGGATAGTACCGCTGCAGAAACTGAAGACGCACAGGTTTGTGTGGTAACTGTTCTGTGCACTTAAGTGATACTTATTGTTTAGGAAAGCCTTTCTGCTCGCTCTCCTCCACAGTCACCAAATCCGGCACTCACTTGCGAGATGTGTCAGAACTATGAACTAAATTTGACATTAATACAGGTTGGGGCTGGACATGTGTTCCATTTCTATCTGTTTTTGGACAACAATATGCTTACATGCCTTGCATGCCTTGTGATGTTCATGGCGCCCTTCACCATGTCCGAACATACGTTCGATGTGTCTGCAATACCTAGAAAAGGGTTTTGAAGCTTTTGCTTTACGTTAATATGGACCACGCATTTGGAGCATAGTACACAAAAAGATTGAACTGATAACTGTCATTTAGTCATAGTAAAAATTGTTTCATTTTGAATTTGCTCCAAGAAACTCATTTTTTATTCGGCTTTAAAAGTCATGATTAGAAGCTTTGTAGAAAAAAGGACACTTATCGCACCAGCTTAGCTTTTCATAACTATTGCATAGCGATGTCATATCTTTGTCTCCATCAGCTTGGCAATTAATCATCGTTTAGGAAAATGAGCGAAAGCTGCGGGATCAGCTCAAAGCAGTAAAGTCGTTGGCGGAGAGATACGAAAGCGAACTGTCTCAGGAACGAAAGTATAGACAGGATGTGGAGAAAAAAATGGTCGAGGTAGTTTGACAGATCTCTTTGCAAAATACGCCGTTCCACTTTCTTCTACTTCATGGCTTTCCCTCACTATTTTGATGTCCATCCCACTGCTATGTAATTTTTTGAGATTTGCTTATCTAAGCAATGCATTATATTAGATTGGTGAAAAAGTTTCTCGGACATTGAATTCGGACTAATTTTTTGCTTCAACGAGAGCACTAAATGGGACATGCGGCATATCGTTGAAGGAAAGCAAGCTCCACAAGACCATACTAAGCACCGGCATAGTATGATCTCCTTGAAATTAGATGCATGAATCTGAAAACGTAGGATCTTGACCGAGCTCAAACTTCATCTTCCGTAAAGGTTGTGACATCCTGAATGCCTAATTATATGGCAGACTTGGACTTACTTGAATACGTGCACAGATTGCACGAAATTCGCGCCTAAATGTCAATAGAACCCAAGTAATTTGAAATTGGCGAATTCCGCCCATTGGTTCTGGACTCCCCTGCCTTGTATAAGTTGCATACATGCGGGTATACAAAGCCAAATTTTCGCTTTTGTAGATGCCTTCCTGGGAATTAGCAAATTTAGTCTGAAATCTCCTTAAAATCTTTACCTACCCAATATTTTTTGAACTGAGTATCACCAATAGAGCCGCTTGTTTTCAGTTTTTTAGCTATTTTCTCACTAATTTAGGTTTTTTTCGGTGTTTCTAGTCACTTGCTGTGTATCCGCTCGATTTTCTTCTGCTTTTTGTTATTTGCTTTGTCAATGTTGAAGACGATATCGCCCGCATAACGCATTCATAACGAGCTTTTTATTGTGCTACATACTCGGAGCCCTGCAACTTTCGTTTTTGCTGCGAAAAAAAAAAAGTGGCTTTATTTGCTTTTGGATGAGGACTAGGAAAATTGAAAGAAGGCGCATTTATCCGAACATGTATTAAGCTGTCTTTGACGAACTACTGTCATAGTCCCATTGTGACAAACTTAGTTGTTTTGGCTTCGGCACAAGAGCGCCATTACTTCTTCACTCTGCATTTACACTGTGATCAAATGAAGTTCCAGCTATCATCGCAATTCAACGATGATCTGAAAATTGCTTTTTCTGAAAACGCAGCACTAGAGGATCGTCTCAAGGACCTTTCTCAAACCCAACAGAAGGAAAGAGAAAAATGTACAAAACAGCTGGAAGAGGCCAACCGGGTTTGCTCTGTTTTGGAATCCGAAATCAAGAAGTTGGCTAGCAAATACCAGGTATTCTGCGCAAGCTTTCCGCTTTCAAATATTCTTACGCCAGATTTCGTTCTAGGAACTGCTTGGTTCGAATCGAGCAACTGCTTCGGAGATGAGAGCGGAGCCAATTGATCTCCCACAGAACGCCGATCAGTTGCAGTTTCTTTGTTTACAGATGAGAGAAGAATTAATAGAATTGAAATCTGCTCGTCAACATGAACAGAATGAGTTACGAGATGAGGTTGCCTTGCTAAGGTGAAATCACATAGTTAGTGGAAATATTGTTTTTATCACTATCAGCATTCAGAGAGCAAATTGGGGAAGAGCGAAATGCTAAATTAGCGCTGGAACGGGATCTCCTCGCTCAAGTCAACCATCTTCAAACCCAGTTAGGCATCGCGGCTAGTAAAGTAAGGAAAGTGTTGGTGTTTTCATTACTTCAGCCATCTGGAACACTTTTAGAAGCATCCCATGTGTCGCACTGTTCAACTAAAAAATCGTTTTTTTCTCAATAACCGAATTTTCTGATCCAATGAGAGTCAGATCTCAGTATTTTTTAGCTTTCTACGGCTGACGCTGTGGTGATGAACAGTGAATCCCATTCAAGACAAATACGTGATCTCCAAAATACAGTTGCTGAGTTGGAAGCACAAGTTAAACAGGTAATTCAGTGTTTTTCCATTTGTGTGCAAGCTTCAACATTGTATTGTTTGCTCTTGACTTCTTCAGGTTCAAAGTGAACGAGCAGCAGTGGAAATGACTGCGCAGAATTACAAAGCACGCTGCGCTTCGTTGCAAAGCGAATTGGATACATCCGAAGCAGTGCAAAAAGACTTCGTGCAGCTGTCTCAAAGTTTGCAAATACAGCTCGAAAAAATAAGACAGTCAGAGCAAGTGAGTATTCGAGGAAAGGATATCCACCGAATTTAGGAATTTGAACATCAGTCTCCTGTTTCTCTTCTTTTTTGTTTTTTTTTTTATTATAGCAGGGATTTATTGCAGGAAGTACGGTGGCAGTGGGAGGATGACGTCGAGAATTGTTCTGGATGCGGGGCCTCAGTGATCAAGTTGAAACCACGACCAAGGTGAGTTGGCCGGATATTTAAACACTACAACCATTAAGTGTTGTATATCTTCCCTTCAAGGTGTTTACACTGCTGTAAGATATTTTGTGCGTCCTGTGTGCAGCAAACAGTTCCAAGTGGGCCAAATCGAAGACCTGCAAATGTTTGTCACGTCTGTCATACGCTACTGAACAGGTGAGATGATTAAAACTGCTATGCATTGCCGGGTCTTCACAATTATGGATTTCAACATCAAATTTTCGGTGTTTTTGTTGCTATTTTTTATCTTAATGACCTTTCCCAAAAATTGCTCTCTTTCCAGGGACTCTAAGCCGTTTTTCGCTGTGGATTCTAACAACAAATAGCCTCAAGTCATCTTTATTTCATTTTCCTTAGAAATTTCTTCAACGGTTATGTCACTGAGCTGACAATCCGCCTCGTCATCGATGCGAATATCAAGAGAGCGGAGTTGGAAAACGCGGTTGATAATTGCAATGAACTTATTTTGATCTCTTGTTGCATTCACTACACAATCATTCACTACAACTTCAAGTTGTCGGTTTGCATGAATTGTTATTCGACATCCCGAGCAATGAACATCGAAACAGAATATTCTGCAATAACGGTGGGCTGAAAACGTCTAAGTTATGGCTAGTAAGAATGCTCTACCTTGTGGAAGTTCCCTTTTTCAAAAGGACTCCTCCAGTTCCCAAAGGAGTAGGTTGCTCTAATCGTGTAAAATGAGGCTGCAGCGAGATGGAACTTAGGCGAAATCTCTACAAGTAACTAGCATCGAACTGAACAGTATTTCCGTTCAAAACTCACGCATCCATCCGTTTCATTGGTGAATCCAGCGCAAAAATTGGTATTTATGGGTAGTTCAAGGATTGGACGAGGAGGAGCATATAGAGTGAGCTTCTTCCAAAATCTCAAAATTCACTAATTTCGAGCTTGGCTTGCAACCACGTTTTGTTTTGCTTACTTCAAACCATGCTCTATCGGATCTGCATCAGGAAATTTTTCACAGACCCACCCAGGTGCAAACAATGCGATAGACATTCGCATCAAATTCGCTTTTGCGAATGATCTGTAGCAGTCCCAGCCACCTAAAACATGTCAATAAAAACTCAAAATCATTCAAATTATCGCTGCAAGTATAGACACACATTACTCAAGCAGCATGCAAGTTATACATATCTGGTGCGCCTGCTATTTGACTGCGACGCCTTAGATGGTGCAATGGCCACTTTGTTTTTGCGTTATGAGTCGACTCTATTTGCATCACATTGCGTTAGGGAAATCGTCGCCAATAGGCGGGATCACACGAGCGGACATTCGCCACAGATCATGCATTTCTAGATGTTCCCCTGTATATAACCTGTGCTGGCGGAGTTTACCTGCGACGTAAGTCAACCGTCCCGGTATGTTTTGCTTGAGCAGTGAAAAGGGGAGAGAAACGATTAGGAGTGCACGTAACAGCAGAGTTAGTCAGAGATTAGAATCTATGCGGAACGAGCAGATCACCATACTTACAGTCGAGTAGTCTTACTGCAAATATAGTGCTTTGCGTGTCGAGATTTGGACTGAATATGCGCGTAAACAGATAGCCCGAATTGTCGGCAATTTGCAGGTTCTTTTTTCTAAGGCACGCGCCATACTTGATCTTCTTGATCCGTTTCGTGGAAAACGCGCGCTCACGAGTTAGTCATTTGGCGCCGCATAGGTAAGATAGTTTGTATGGCTGCGCAAATTCGCTGTACGCGTCGCCAAATGACAAACTAGTGAGCGAACCGTTTTTCACGAAGAGGATCATGTGGATCAAGAGGATCAAGTATGACTGCCTAACTGTCAGATCTGCTCGACTGTACTGCGGGACGAGGGCGTGAAACCGGGGGCGCAAACGCGGTTTTATTAGTCTAAGGCCTAAGGCATACCTCCCGGGATTTCATCAAATTGCCACATTTGCGCGACTTGGCGATTCGCCAGATGTCTCCAAATTCATTGTGCTCGGCTCTCAACTGCATAGGTACGTAGCTTTTGTAAATCCTCGCAAACGGTTCGAGTCTCGACCAAGGAAAGCTGCTTACGATATATCATGAAGAGTCGCTGCAGTGTCAAATCGCGCAGCGACTGGAATCGCGTGAGGTAAGGTAGGTGCCAGAGTAAGCGAATATTTTGTTCAAGTTGGGGTCCAGCACAGAATGGACGTCACCCACCATGCTGGCGTCAATCCAAGTGACGTCAATTCTACGCGGGACCCCAACCTGAACAAAATATTCGCCTACTCTGGCACCTACCTAAGCCTTAGGTAGGTGCCAGAGTAAGCGAATATTTTGTTCAAGTTGGGGTCCCGCGCAGAACTGGCATCACTAATCATTGTGGCATAATGCCAACTTGGCTTTGTGCCACAATGATTAGTAACGCCAGTTCTGCGCGGGACCCCAACTTGAACAAAATATTCGCTTACTCTGGCACCTACCTTAGGCCTAAGGCATACCTCGCGCAATTCCGATCGCTGCGCGATGTGGCACAACAGCGACTCTTCGTATATCGTTATTGATGAGCTACCTTTGGTCAGAACTTGATCCGTTTGCAACAACTTAGACAAGCTACCCAAATATGCGTTCGAGAAGAACGCACGACAAATTTGTAGAAGTCTGGGAAATTGCCAAGTCGCGTAAAAGAGGCAATCCGGCCGAATCGCGTGAGGTATGCCGTAGGGCTTAGGTCTAAATGCGCGAGGCGCAGAATTACAACGGTAAAGATACGGCGCGCCACGTTTGCGCTCGTGCAACTGTTGCTTTTGTGCCCTCGTTCGGCAGTAGCCTTTATGTGCGCTACAGTTAGCGAACACAAAATTCATCATGCACTATCTGAAATGAAAAACTGACTGTTTCGATGACCTATACCGACCGATGCATCCTCTTGCAAAAACATCGATTCCTACATAGATCCTGTGGATTTTTCCATGATCAGCACTATTCAGTAGCTCTTCGTCACCCCAACCATAGTTTAAATATATTCCATCGCAGTTTTCGTACCAAATTCTAAAAAACCAGGTGGCTGTGTATGGAATGCAGTGACGCCAGACTTACTTATTCAACTCATTGAGCTGGTTTTGCCAGTGCAACCTACCCGATGCAATTACAGAATCGTACCAGATCACACGAGAGTGTTCTACGGCCTCTCGCATGTAATCCGTCAACAGACGCAGGAACAACTTCAGATTTTCTCTATGTTCGACCTGTACGAAAAATTAACAGGATAGAGGCAAAACGTCGATAGGCACGTCTCTGCAGACAACTAGGTCATTTCGCTAATGCGTTGCACACGGCATGAACAGTGGTCTGCACAGACGGCGCCTAAAGGCTTTGGCGCAACAATATGGACCCTTTCGAATTTGTGGAATTACTGAGTAAACCCACTTCTCCAGTACACCGCAGCACCAACTCCATCCTCCAAATGCGCTAAGTCCTGGAAACGCGCTTCAAAACCTTCCAGCTCCACCCACGCCCGTTGAATGGGCGGGTCTGGTGGGCTTCTTAAAGGCAGTGTCCAGGCAGATCTGGACCTATGGAGCTTTTACGTGGAAAGTGCTTTTGGGGCCCTAACTAAGGCACTGCCCAAGCGGCAGCTCAGATAGTGATCTAATGTCTGAGATATTCCCCTCGAAACTGGCCCCCGCGAACGTATTCGCATGGATTGGCAGTCTCGCGCCAGGATCCACGCTTTGCGCCATGAATCCATGCGAAACACGGTCGCGGGGTCCAGTTTCGAGGGGAATATCTCAGGCGTTAGGCCTCGGACATACCTCACGCGATTTCACTCGCGACGCGACTTGGCAATACTCCAAACGTTCATAACTCATCGTACGGGGTTTCCGAATGTACGGAAGATGGGGCATTTTATCAACCTACGAAAGTTATACATGCTGTACATTTGGGGTCTACCAGTATTGAATTTGAAAACATCTGGCAAATTGCCAGATCGCGTGGCGACTGAAATTGCGTGAGGTATGTCCCTTGCCTTAGGGCACTACCTGAACCGCTGGTTGGGCAGTGGCTTAGTTAGGGCCCCAAAAGTACTTTCCTCGTAAAATCCCATGGGTCCAGACTTGCCTGGACGCTGCCTTTAAGCGCGTTTAGAACTAACAATAAGTGATGAACCGAAGGATGGAATTGGAGCTGCGTACACTTAAGAGTCTGCTAACTAGGCCCCGCCAGACTTCGCTCAGAAGCGCTCAAATTTCTCTAATGTCTCTTTACTTTCTCGTGTGAGGAAAGGTGGGAGAGATTAGTGAAATTTGAGCGCTTTTGGGCGCTTTTGAGCGAAGTCTGGCCAGGGCCCTAACATCGCTAAAATTCAACAGGGTCCATATTGCGAGCCACTGCCTTCAACAATATCTATTCGTTGACCAAGTTCTTCTACACGGGCTAGTTGAATCAAGACAGGAACCACATACCAGCACTCTATTTTCTATGTTGATCAGCCAGCCATCAAAGTTATAAGCACGTGCGATAGAAACAAGCCGATCTACCGTTAGCAACACTGTTTCCTCCGAGGCGAGAACCCTTGCACACAACTCTTTGCCTTCGGTGATGAAAGTACCCAGAACAAGGCAACCTAAGCGTTCCATAATCTTAGTTCTACTACTTGTTAATACCTGTTAAAACTGACCGTGTTCGTGCCCTAAGTTTGTGTAACTGGTAGGCGGTATAGTGACGAAGCAGTGAGAAAAATAGCAAAATACATCTATATTCCACCAGTTCAAAAATACGTATGGATTCGGACAACCATCTCGCACCATAATTCCTTCATCACTGTAGAAGAATTTCACCATCTTCTAATCTCGAAGTGATCTTCTCCTGTTTTATTGAACAAAAAAAAACTACTAATAGAACTATTATGTTCAACAGAAGTGAGATGCGATGTATGTACAATAGTTGCGCGTGATGGGCATGAAGCGGTAGACTAGGCTTTATTTAAGCTTCAAACGGCCAAATGTGACGCGAACGCGTTGTGAACACCGTAAGTCATTAACATCAACCCCAAAGATAATAGACTACGACTCCCCGAAAACCAAGATCTTGCAAAGTTTTGTATATTATGAATATAGCAAAACTCATTTGTTATTTTTTGTCTCATCCCATGATCCCTGCGACATGGACCCCACTGAAATTAATCACAAATTCTAAACAATTTACCTTTCCTCTTCGAGATAGCCTCCTTTCATGTCATGACATACAAGTATCTCTGGCTTTCCTTCAGCGATCTTGTCTCTGAAAGATAGATATGCACTTGTTATTTTATAAAGTCATCAATGCCAAAGATTGTGATGCAGAGTGGCCGAACTTTTGAACGTTACATGAATGACTTCTAAAGTTGTGCGAGTGACTTGTTTATACTTGCAAATTCGCAAACTTACTTTAGAGATAGGTAGATATTTTAGAGATATTTTTGCGGGGAGGACGGGGCTGAAAAACCCGAAAAACATTCCAAAATTCTTGGAGGGCCTCCAAATGCAATTTCTCGCGCCGTAACGGTTGGTAGCGAGGATAATCAAACGAGGCGCGAACTATACGAACTCTTTTCTTTCCAGCGAGGATAGAACTCTAGTCGATAAAGTAGGATAAGATCAAAAAAAGTTGTAGTAAATTCAGCAACAAGAAATGCTTACCTATAATTAGTCAATCGCCTAGCTGCTTCAACGTTCGCAGTTTTCTCATCAAATTTCCAAAGGGTCTCCACATCACAGATTGGTTGTACCATTTTACAAGTGGCAAACAGCTAACAGACGACTAGATCGGCCGGGAGGACCCACAAAATTTAGTTTTCAAGATTATATGCAATTGTTCAAAGCTCAATAAATAAGGGCGCATTTCAATGTTATCTGCGTGAGATTTGTTATAGATTCTGCAGGTGCAGAAATCGTCTTACAAAATCCGCAACGTTGCCTCAAGTGCGCAAGAAACACATTTGGTCAAGTTATCACGGAAATTATGTAAGAACGATTTGTTTATTGTAAGGAGAGCAGAGCGTGTTGACTGCTGATGCCAATTCTTTTGTCAAATGAAGAAGATATGTTAGAAATAGCAATAATGATAAGATAGGGATGGTGCTATTTGATGTGTGCTTGAAATATTCGAAATTGAGACCTCCGTCATACTTTTATCGAGAAAGAAAGTTGAGTCATTGCTGCTGTGTGAGAAAGTGTATGCAGTGATGTATGTGGCATGGAAGACACTACTGGAGAAGAAAAATGTAACAATCGATCGCTGGAATTTAGACGCTGTTGAAATCTTTTCATTTTGGATATCCTCTTTTAGCTTAGCACATGTGACTAGTAACACTGTTAGACCGTCTACGGTCAAATAGATTCTCCGCTTATTATGGTGTGCTTGCATGCAGGTAAGATGCGGTGAAATTTGCGCGTGGATAAATGGCTACACTTGTGACGCTGGCCGTTTGCGCGCGCAAGATGCCGGCATCACTGATGTGGCTGGTTGTTCACGCGCAATTTAAGCACACTATACTGAGCGGAAAATCTAGTCGACCGTATGATCGGTTCCGAGATCCGTGTGCAGGCGAGTTGCGGACTTCCTTGATTGTAAAGATAAGCTTAGCGAGAGAGTACGAAAAACCATGCAGCAAGGTGGAGTTTTTACAAGTTTACCTTTATATTCGGGGAAAGTCTGCAACCCACCTTCACACGAATCTGGGAGCTGATAATACCATCCACCTACCACTGGCTATCCAGGATTTCCATTGGGGGGGGGGGGGGGGAACGTGGCGTCAGCATGCACTCCGAAAATTTTTTTTTGTAAGGACTAAGTTGAATTTTTGAATTTTCAAAAATTATTTTAATTATTTACAAGTTAAAACAAGTCGCTTGCACATTTTTATAATTCATGTAAGTAGCTTTCAAAAATTTCGCGAGCCATTTTCGGGGAGTGGGGGGAGGGAGAGGGGCGCCTATTCCCCCTCCCGCCTCCCCCCCCCCCCCTCGGTACGCTACTGTTACCTACCTATTACTATCAGCAGTAGGTGTGCGAAAGGAAAGAGTCTGTTTGAAGCTAATTATGCAGTAGTTGAAGGTGATTCTCGACGTTACACCGTAATAAATTACGCAAAAATAAATATCCTGCACCACATCTTCAACTTATTTGGGAGCACTTTTTTGAAGCCAAGTTTGGTCAAAAAAGATATTTACCATTCTGATTTGGTAGAAAAAATCCTGTTTAACCGCGATAAACCGCATCATTTGTAAAAATTCTGGTACTTTTCTGTTTATCCGGCATTTTTTCAGAATGTTCTCTTGAAACAAGTGCTTCAGTCGAAAAATTTTTTTTCGCAAAAGTTGTGAGGTGAGGACTGTCACCATGTCACATGTCAAGATAAAAATTAACATGTTGAGGGTCAGCTTGACATGTTCTTTTGAAATCATATCCAGTGAGGTACGAGAGCATTTGAAGAGATTCGAAAGCAGTTCAGGGTTCTTTAAAAAAAGCAAAACTGTTTTAAACGTTTATTGAAACATCTTGGTAGCTTTCAGCAATGATTTCAAGAGATCCTGCTCTTCACATTGTTTTCTTCACGCGAATTCAGCAGAGAAGTTATATCAATGATGGCTTGTAGTACTGGACTGCCGATTGTTTCGTCGCTTAGATGATAGAACACTTTTTTATTTTGGGGAAGTCTAATGTTTTGAACACAGAGTGTCGTTATTGCAATGTTATAGCTCACTCATGAAACTGTTGACTGAAAACACTCATTATTGAATAAAAAACAGATTGAACTCAAATTGATAGGTGAGCTCAACAAATTCTTGTGTACGGTCGGTGAGTCAGTGTGTGTGTGTGCGATGTGGACTGTGATCGATGCTGCCACGCGGGACTTACGCACAGCGAGTACACCTCAAACTTGGGTAATTAAACTTTTATTACTTAAAGCAACTAATGACTACAATGCGACTACGATAATAACAGACAAACAATACAATGTGCATATATGTCAATCGGATGTGCTGTGAGGGTCCTGTGCGGGGGCTGTGACTTGCGCTGTGAGGGTCCTGTGAGGGGATGTTGACAAATATGCTAAAAATAGATGAAGCATCGAAAGTACCAAATAACTATAGGAAGAAAGCAAAGAAATAAAATGGTACAACGCGACTAGCCACTACTTATATATATATATATATATATATATACCGTACATAAACAAACTAAGAAACAAACATGATAAATGGGTTGATAAGCTACCAAAGAACATTATGCTGTGGGAGATCTTCGGGCCTATTCCCACCTTGCGCGCCGTGTATTCCTCAGGGTCCAAAGAATGATACGAACCGCAAGTTCGCATACTCCGGCCCTAACGTCGAGAATGAGAGGGGCCCGATTCGTCCGTGCTGTGACTTGTGTCGTTGTCAGGTACGTGGCTGTGTTCCGAGTGCCGTAGTTAGCGCTGGCAATCCTCTATCCTGTTCTCGAGTTCCCTCCTTTTCTGCCTTAGGCGATTGACTTCGTCCGGCAATGAACATATGCCTGCATGATGGTCATGAGCCGTTCCTCGTCCGCTGTTCTTGCAGTAGAAGCACAGGGCTGGCTTTTTGCAGACACCCGAGTGGCGTTCCAGGCAACGGTAACTATTCGATCTGCGATTGAAGTCACCCTGGGACATGATTCCGAGAAGTGTTGTCCATGTTCCTTGCAGAAGACGCACATGAGCAAACCGAGCCTGTGTCCTCCTTCGCCAAATCGTCTCTCCGGACAGGATAGTTTCTGTAATTCGGATCTCTTTCAGCTCCTCCTGACAATCGGCAATACGTTCCTCGTGGTGGTGTCGTTTCTAGGTGATAGATGTCTTTTGCTCCGGGCGTTTGCGTTTTCTTTCTCCGGAATGACTGCTGTGATCACTGTGACTGTGATGGTGATGGTATTCCGTTTCCCTGTGTGTCCTCCTGTGCCTTTCCGGTGATTCGCCCTTCGTGTTGCTTCTGGTGTCCATTTTTGTGATACAATTCTTTACTTTGTCCAGCAGTTTTGAACTTTCATTGCGGCCGACCGTACAAGTGGTGCATCGGCCAGGAAGAAAAGTGGGAAGAACAACCTGTAAGGGAGATGCTTTTGCATCTCCGTTTGCATCTCCGATGGAATGCCAGAAGACATGATTCATATGTTTAGGGGTGACCGACGATACGAAGCCTCGAGGAGTCGCTCCTTCGCCCCGACACCGACCGGCCGTCCTACCGTACCCCTCCACGTCTCTGGCTGATGCTGTTCCGATCCAGTACCTATCCAATCTCCAAGCTCAACTACTTCACCGATGATCTCCTATTCTCGCATATTCATACACTGTCCTCTGTCTACATTGATGCCTTAACGATAAACTACTAAGTACTGATCGGTGTTCTGTTCTTGCCAGCCAGGAGCACGCCTCCACTGCCGCTACGCTTACTGGTAGCAGCGAGTGGTTAGAGTTTTCGAGAGCTGCCTGATTTTGTTTCAAGGATAGAGATAGAGATTCAATTTGCTTACGCGCATCTTCTAATTCACTATTAGAATGAGGCGAAATACTAAGCAAGTTAGGAGAAGCTCTACGGTTAAAAGCTGGAGAACGAGAACGGAAAGGAAATCTAGGGCTGCGCGATCTTAGAAAACGTGATGTGAACCTACCTGTTTGCTGACGTTGTCGCCTCTTTGACGGGCATTCAGGAATAGTGTGTCCTCGACCGCCACAGTTATAGCAGAAAATACCATTCGCCATGTTGTCCTGAGGCCTTTGTTCCATTGGTTCCTGAAATCGCACACGATTAGCATTTGGTCTTACTCTACCTGGATAGCTTTCCCTGCTGTAAGGGCTTCTAGAGCGAAAGGGGTTGGAAGGACGCTGGTTACGATTAGTAGTAGAATTATCAAATGAAGAACGGGTGAAAGGCTTAATGGAACTCACGGTCACTGGTTGAGACACCTGGGACGGGTGAATAAGTCGATCCCTAGAAGCTTCAGCCAATAGGTTCTCGACTCGTTCGGCTTCGGCCACTGCTTCCTCAAAAGATGACGGGTTAGCATATTTAACATGAAAACGTAAATCGGAATTCAATCGTTGCAAAAACTCTTGAAGAAACACTTCATCATTAAGAGAAGGATCCTTACCTGTTGCAGTACGTAGTAAGTTAAGAAGACGAAAGGCAAAAGCAGAAATAGACTCACCCGCAGCCTGTCTGCACGACGACAACTCTTGTCTGGCATCCGCCATTTGCTTGGGCCCTTCGTAGTGCTTGCGCAATAAGGCCACGATTGCGCCATAGTCGAGCTTATCCTCCGAGGATGGAGTTTCGACCCGCTCCCTGGCAACAGATTCTAAATGCGCAACTAGATAGTTAGCCCTGTCCTCCGCTGTAACAATTTTGCGTAAGCGCATTGAGTCCTCAAGGCGGCGCAACCATAATGAAAACGATTGTGAGTTAGAAGTACCCGAGAATGGGACGATTCTGGAAGAGAGCCCATCAGGGCAGCAAGTTGCTACCAATGGAAATTGTTCTATACGAGAACCCACTGCCGCAAAAGACTGGTTAATCCCCTCTAAGAGATCTGAATTACCTTGGTTCAGCTTCTCCACCAGTTGCGCGGTAGTCTTCTTAGCGTCCCGCCAGGCGTTGACCAAAGCATCTGTCGTGGCACTCTTCAATTCCTTGGCGTCGCGTCCATGAACCACGGCAGAGTCCTCGAGAGTCGCCAACACCGACGTCAAAGGCGCCGTGATAGCCTCAAGCGCCCCAGGTGGGCTCGAGGTATCCGACGCGGGCTGCTCCACCTGCCCCTTTGAGCGAGTAATTGGAACCATGAAAGCTAAAACTGGATAAG